TGCGGTACGTGGGCCTCTCACTGTTGTGGCCTCTCCTGTTGCGGAGCATAGGCTCCGGACGTGCAGGCTCAGCAGCCATGGCTCACGGGCCCAGCCGCTCCGCGGCATGTGGGATCTTCCCGGACCGGGGCACGAACCTGCGTCCCCTGCATCGGCAGGCGGACTCTCAACCACTGCGCCACCAGGGAAGCCCCCCTACCACCTCAGTTTCTTCATCTGTAAAATGGACTTAACAGCATCAACTTGCAGCCAATAGATATTTACTCAGCACCTCCCGAGCCACAGAAATTAACCCGAGAGACCAAAGTCCCCTGCCTTTGAAAATTTGGGTTCTGGGACTAAATGCAACTGCCCAGGGAAAGCCCTGGGAGTAGCATGTCCTCCACTCGCTCATCTGACCCCTGGGCAGACACAGCCGCTGACCTTGCGTTTCCGGCACACCAGGCTGGCGGCCGTGATGAGCTGGATGGCGTAGCGCAGCGAGGTCTCCAGCCCAATGCGGGTCAGCACTGTGTAGGCGTCCTCACTCATCTCCACATCTTCCTCCTCACACCTGTGGGCAGGGGGCGTAGGTGGCATTCAGCCAGGGTCGTGGCGCTGCTGGACCTCCCGGGGTACACGTGGAGTCCACGTCCTCAGAAGCACAGAAGAGCCACCGAGGCACAGGCTGGGCCCAAACCTTGGGCCTCCTGAGCCTCTCCCTTCCAGGGGTCTTTCCACAAGGTCAGTCACCAGCACAACCCCTCTCTTCTCCAAAGAGCACCCCCCCATCATAGGCCACTGCTTGGATACCCAGCCCAGTCCTGCTTCTGGCAGGCCCAGTGACCTCCCCCTCAGAACTCAGTGTTGCCACGTGTCAAACAGGGTGGACACCAGCCCTGCCTCTCAGGCCTGCAGCCTGGTCCTGCCCAGGAAGGCCAGGGGTGCCCCCGCCCCCCGCACCGGATGCGGAGGATCTGCTTTGTGTCTTTTTCGCTGTAGGGAGAGGTCGAGACGATAAGCAGGCGGTCCAGCAGGTCAATGGGGATGCCGTGGGGGCTCTGGTAGCTAGTGCCCCGGATCCTGGGGAGGAGGGGGAAGGGAGGCTGTCAGGGTGATGCTCTTAGAACCTGGCTCTCCATTCCTTCTACTCAGAACACCCCACCTCTACCAACCCCCTTAGCCACAGCCCGCTCACTGGACCAAATACCGGTTAGCCTTCAGCTCCGGGCTGGTGTCACTGCCTGACGGCGCAGCCACCCCCTGACTGCATCAATCCCCCTGGAGCTGAGCTGGTTTTAGCTAGGTATCTGTGTCCGGGATTACTGGATCAAGGTCCCACTCCTCTGCCTGACACAGAGCTCCACAAGGGAAGCAGCTGTGCCGGTCCTGTCCCCGGCTGCACCTGGCCCAGCACGAGGCCTGGCACGTGGTGCTAGGAAACAGCAGATTCCCATTATTCATGGTAGCTGCATTCTACAAAGTGGAGGCGAATGCTCAATTAGCAAATACAGGGTTAGGCTCTTGTGAGCCTCTGGTCACAATTTTTGGCAACCAACCAATACATAGCCCGGTTTCAGGTTAAAGACACCTTATTCAATATATATTATTGACTTATTCATGAACTCATAGCCAATAGCACTTGAACTCGTGCCTGAAGGAAGCTCATCTAACACATGTGTTTTCTCCGTATGGCACATCCCTGTCTTCTTGCGCTTAGCGACACTGGACAGCTGGGGGCCATTTTAAACAGCAAAATTACCAGGGACAAAAAGCATACAATGTGACAAATGTGGCACTAAACAGATCAGTAAAAGAACACTTATTTACAGCACATGAACTGAAACTAGGAGGCAAAGCGCTGCCTGCTTTGACCCTCGCCTGGATTGTCTGCCATGGGCGATTCAATTTTTTCCTGCTCTGCACACGTCTGTGAATGACTGCCGAAGTGTGATGGACACCAGTTTGGGAGCTACAAATCAACTGTAGCGAGTAAGCAGATCCACGAATACGGAATCTGCAGAGGAGTGACTGCGTTTGCTGCCCCTCACAGGAGACACCCCTGTTCCCACAGCCTGAACTGCAGCTGCTCCAAACATGCTCTCAGCTGATCTCGTCCAACCCTGTCATCTGGATACCAAATTCTGGCCCCGCCACCTTCTACGTGTGACCTTGGGCAAGTTACCAGGCCTTGCTGTCCCCATCTTTAAAATGGGGCTGAAGGAATTCCCTGGTGGTCCGGGTGGTTAGGACTCCGCGCTTTCATTGCAGGGGGCACGGGTTTGATCCTTGATTGGGGAACTAAGATCCTGCAAGCTGTGATGCATTGCCAAAAAAATAATAAAAAAAAATAAAGCAGGGCTGAGACAATATTACCTCCCGAGCTTCTTTTGAGGGGGCCAAGCAGTTCATCCTGGAAAAGGGCCAAGCACAGAGCCAAGGACAACCTGCCTGCTGCCCCTGGAAGCCATGCCCCTGTCTTCCCTGCACTACAGCTGGCACATGGCTGCTGCCCTGGAGGTGCTGGTCCCTGGGCTACCGTGCAGCCAGGTGCTGCCACACACCTGAGCAGCCCTGGGTAATGGGTCCAGGTGGCCATGCTGGGTGCAGCCTTTGGGCCCCAGCTTCTTTCAAGCTCTCTGCCCTCCACTTCCTTCTCCCTTCCTGTGGACTCTTGAAATGTAGATGAGGTGGGGAAGAGCCAGCAGGGAGGACATGGCACAGCAACACCCTAGGGCAGAGGTTCCCAAGCGTTATGGTGCCTGGTACCCTTCATGTCTCAGGAATTTTTCCATGGTATCCTTAGGTCAAGAGAAATACTAAGCTTCGTTCCCTTTATTTCTATTAAGCAGTTAGGTGTAAGCAACTTAATTGTAGTAGTTTCTGCAGCGTCCAAAACATGTCACTGTGCATCCCTTAAAACCTTAAAACATCCCACAGGGGCTTTCCTGGTGGCGCAGTGGTTAAGAATCTGCCTGCCAATGCAGGGGACATGGGTTCGAGCCCTGGTCTTGGAATATCCCACATGCCGCAGAGCAACTAAGCCCATGCACCACAACTACTGAGCCTGCGTTCTACAGCCTGGCTCCACAACTACTGAGCCTGCAGGCCTAGAGCCCACGCTCTGCAACAAGTGAAGCCACCATAATGAAAAGCCCACGCACGGCAACTAAGAGTTGTTCCCGTTTGCCGCAATTAGAGAAAGCCTGCGCACAGCAACGAAGACCCAGTGCAGCCAAAAATTTTTAAAAAAACAAAAACCAAAAAAACATTCCACAGCACTCCTGTGTTCTCTGCAGTACCCTGGGGTGCCTTGGCACACAGTTTGGGAACTGGAGCCTTAAGGGCTACGGGAACAAGAAAACAGAAAGAACATGGTACCTGGACTTCCTTGTGGAGCACAGTTGCCCACCAGCCCTGACCAGCCACCTACTTTAGTTTGAGGGGAAAGTACACTGTCTTGTCTGGGCCACAAAGCTTGGGGATAGCCAAGTCCACCGCTCCCTAACGAGGTGCTCACCAAACGTGCCCTGCTCACCCAGTGACCGTTCCCACCACCCAGAGGTCCCCATTCTCCCCAGGGGCCGCTGAGGGGCTGGCAGTGGCTCACCGGGTGATGCCGCGGTTGGTGGCCATGATGAGGACAGGCGCCATGTCACTCTCCAGGGCCCGGTTGAGGAAGGAGAAGCTCTCAATGTCCAGCATGTGGACCTCGTCGATAAACAGCACCTGGGGGCCAGGGGGGTGGATGTCAAACCCACCTCCTGTGCCCCCTCTTCTCCCCCACCGCAACGCCACCTGCCCTGGCCCCATCCCGGTACTCACGCCGGGGATGATCTCCGCCTTGCCCTCCTCCCGCCACTCGGCCACCTTGGCATTGATCTGCTCTCGGACTTCTGACTTGATCTCCCCTGTGTCACCTGTGGGAGGCGCGGTGTCAGAGACAAGACAGGGATCTAGGGCCGGAGGGTGGACCAAGATGCAGAAGGATGGGACGCCGGGGACAGAGGGAAGAGAGACCAAGCCCTGGAGTGGCAGCACGACGGGAGGGCCAGGGAGTCGGAGATGTCCCAGAGAGGCAACACAGGGGGAAAGACGAACCACACTACAGATGGAGAAAAACAGGAGTCGGCGAACAGGGATGGGGGCAGAGGGG